AATTAGGGTTAAAAATTTTTTTTGGGTCTGGCCTGGCCCGTATTTAGGGTTACCATTTTTTTGCCAGCCTGGCCCGGCCCGCATATGTTAAATTTTTTCTTCAGCCCAGCCTGGCCCAGCCCGCAAAAATTTCTTATATAATTTTACAAATTTTTAGGCCTGCACTGGCCCGCAATTATAAAGTTTTGCAAATTTATCGGCCTGGCCCAGCTCACAATTATAAAATTTTGCTTCAGGCCTGGCCTGGCCTGCAAAATTTTGCGGGCCGGGCTGCAGGACCCAACACAGGCCTCTAATCAGTACTGTTTATATTAATATCAGTTTGCCAGTATGTGATTGATATTTGGTTAGAATCTATAAGATGTTTATAAATTTTGCCTATAATAATTTTCTTATTATTGAAAGTAATCAGCCATGGTTTATGTTTTTTAAAAATGTTGTATATGTTATATGCAAAGAGGTTAGTTCTTTGCTATTAGTATTGAAGTTTAAGAAAATGTTGATAATTTTCTATAATAAGGTTTTCAAGTTTAGTAAACCAAGTTGGTTTTTTGCCTTTAGACAAATAAAGAATTCTCAATAAAAGATGTAGGCATTCAAGAAGTGTAATATTGTCTGAAATGCAAAGTTGTTCAAGGTAAAGTAGATTTAGTCATCTAAGTTGTTTTTTAAAGGTTGTATATTTGAGGTGGTGTTGGAGAATAAGTTCAAGAGATTGAAGTTGATAATGAATAATGTTTGGCTATAATGTATTACTGTTAGCTCTAATAGAGATAGCAATTTGTAGAAATAGTTGGATGATTTTAAAATTAAGAGTATGTTTATCTTGACTATCAATATTAGATTAAAGATGTTCAAGAATGTTTATAGTAAACCAGAGGTTGTTTTGGAGCTGTTGTAATCTAATATAAATAGAAACACTTAGTAAATAGAGATTATTAATTTGTTAAAGAAATGTAGTAATATAGTATTGTAATTGTATATTCCAAATATTATATATGTTGTATAGATAAGGATGAAGCATTGTATTATTAGGAATTAATTAGGCAAGATGAGATTTGTGTTTAGCAATTGTAAGATATTTAGCCAGTATGCAATTACATATAGTTTTGAAAAGTATAATATTATATATTCTGTATTCTAATGTTTGGATAATAACTGTATTGATAATGTAAGTAATTTGGTTGTCTGTGATATTTTTTGTATTTGCAATATTAATTAGTTAAAAAGCTTCTTCTTGAATTAATTTAATTGTATGAGTTTGTTTGTTATTAAGTATAAATCTAGATATTTAAAAGGTTGATTATTAGAGATGAAGTTAAGAGTAAAGTTAAAAAAGATGATAGAAATAGGTTTGGCATTTGTGGCAAATATTGACTTGGTAGGATTAATTTAAAGATTAGCTATTTGGTAGAAGGATGCTGCCATTTGAGTAATTTGTTCTAACTCATTTTTGGATTTAGTAATTCATAATGTGTCATTTATATAAGTGAAAACTGAGGTAGAGGCTTAAAGATATTGGTGTCAAAAGAGGTTGTAGACTAGTTTGCCATGAAGTTGAAAGAGTATAGCCTGTAAATTGAAATGCAATTCTGTGGATAAGAAGATTATAATAAATGCACCAAAATAATGATGTTATTGTTTCTTCTTGGTCAATTCTATTTTTAATAGAATATGAATCTGTAAGTTCAAGATTAATTATAACTCAGTTGTAGTAGTTATTAAGCAGATTAGTAAAAACTTCTACTAATTTAAGTAACATGTTGATTCATATTAAAGATTTGTGAAAGAGATTAGAGTTTACTAAGTTATAAGCTTTGCTCATATTCTAAGATATAAGCCAAAGTTTTTTAAAGTTGCAAGAGGCTTCTTTAATTATATTGTTAAGTATGTGAATTGGTATTGCTATACTGTTGCCAAAAAGAGCAATATAGTTATAAGAAGATAATATTGAATATAAGGTGAAATTGGTGTTTAAGTGATTAGTAAAGAGTTTGCTATATAATTTTTTAATATGTTCTAAAAGACTAATAGGTCTGATATTAGTTAAACTTCTATCGAAGATAGGTGTTTTAGAAATAAGAAAGATTCTTTCTTTTTTCTATTATTTGAGTATACTGTTAGTTGAAATGCATCTATTAAATAGAGCAGTTATAGCTTAGAGAAATGGTAAACTGGCATGTTTAAGCATTTCATAACTTATACCTGAAGGACCACAGACTTTATTACTTGGAAGTTTGCAAGTATATTAAAAATTTCTTCTTCAGAAAATTCTGCTAATACTTTTTGATACTATTCTGAATGAATGTTTGTTTTAAGTTGATATTCATTGTTTCAAGAAGAGTTATAAATTTGTTGATTAATTTGTCTATGTGCTGTCTATTGGTTGAAGTGTTGTTAGATATGTGTTTTAATTTCTTGTACTTCTGTAACAACATTATGATCTGTTTTAATGTTGTCAAACTTTATAGAATCTTTGTGATAATTTAATATGCTATTAATCATTGATTTTGATTGAGACTGAAGTTTATCACATCTTTTGGCTATATATTCATTAATTTGTTGTCTAATTATTTTAATGTTTTTGATATTACATGTATGATAAAATGCTTTCCACATATTATTAGCATTTAAAATCCAATCAGTTAGTAGATTATGTCTGGTTGGTAAAGAAGGAATAGTAAAATTATCAGTGTTATTTAGTTGTTGAATTATGTTATTAAGTTGTATAAGTATAAGTGTTTGGTTTTATAATGAGGCTTTAATTTGTTGGATTATATTTCTTAGCTTTTTAAGACTATAATGTAAAAAGGAAGTTTTAGCAGAGTATATATGTTGAAAGTTGCGCATTGTAATTTTTTTGTTAGAAATATGTTTAAGAGCAGCTAAGATAATACTGATCTAGATTTTGTGCTATGTTGTTTCTAAGGATTCTGTTGTATTAACAGTTGTAGGTGTATAGTTAGAACTAAGTTTAGTAACCACTTGATTATCATATAATTGCCAAAGTTCTTCATTCATTTTTTTGTAGAAAAATGTTCTTTTTCAAGTTTTGGTTACAGAACATCATTTGCCAGAATGGGTATAAGGAAAGGACTAAGAGGAAATTGGAATTTTATGATCACTATTTATGCTAGTTTTGGAGTCATTAGTATTGTATGAGGTGAGATAGCAGATTATTGAATAGTTTGCTTAAATGTAATCAATTCAACTTTGAAATCGGCTTCTTTGCCAAGTATTGAATAATGACTAAGTATGAGCAGCTAGGTCATACATGTTGTTATATTGAAGAAAGTGTAATAATTTGTATTTGATAAAGAAAGAATATAAGCTATTATTAGAAACATTAAAGTTTACTAAAATAATAGGTTGTAGATTTGAACTTGTGGCTTGTTGAAGCCATGAAATGACAGTATTTTAAACAGTTAATCTGAGTTGGGTGTCTTCATAAAATAGATATACTGATATAATATGAAATTTAAAGTCATGTTTAAAGAAAAGGTCAATAGCAATAGCATAACCAGAGAGGTTGTATATTTTGTGAATATGTGGTTTGAGCCTATTATTAATTATAATTACAATATCAGCTTTTGGGCTGTTGCTGCATGTCCAGTAATATGTAAAGTGTTTGGATTTTTGTAGGTTTGTTATTGTATTTATGTTAGTTATTTTAGTTTTAGTAATACTAACTATATTAAGATTGTTTGTTAAACAGAATTTCTCTCATATTTGTTGTTTAAGGTTTTTATTATAGTCTTGAACATTGTGAGTACTAATGAATAACTTAAGAAGCTTAATAAAAGAAGTGGATTGTAAATTTTTATTTGTTAAGTTGAAGAGCTGAGGTGTAATTGTATATCTAGGAAAGAGTATATTATTTGTGTTTATAACTTTGAAGTGTATAGAGGTTTTGCATTTGCTTTGTGGTTTAAATTTGGTATTAGTAGATGTATAATTAGCAGTTTGAGAATTAGATTGAGATTTAAGAAGTATATTGAGAAAATTATTCATAAAAGAAATATAATAGTTTAGTAAAATAGTAAGCTCATATAGTAGATAAATGTGGGCTTCTGTTTTGTCTATTTTTAATGGTATTATCAAAGAGTTTAGTAAATATATAGAGTTAATTTGTTGTAAATATTGAAAGAAAGTTTTTATAGTTGGTTGGAGGTGTAGTAGAGGAAGATAATAAATTGAAGAAATTTGTTATAGCAAATGTCCAAATTATAGAAGTTTAATTAATTTGAATTGTATATCTTTTGTAAAGTCACTTGCTATTTTAAGCTTAGTTCTTACAGCTGCAAAGAGTACCATAGCCTGCCCTGTATATTGGGTCTGACCATTATTATCTTGGTTCTTTATGTAAATGAACTTACCTATCTGTCTATTTACATCATTCTTTTTTAAGAATGGTCTACTGAATATAGAGGACATCATTATTTTAGAAGCAGTGGCTACCATTTTAACTATTAATAAACCAATTTTTGATTTAATAAAATATTATTAAGTAATAATTTGTTTTTGAATAAGAATAAAATATTTGAATTAAATTTTAAAGAAATCTAATTTATTGACTTTGATAAAAAAATTATTAACAATATTACCAAAAAATATTTTAATTAAAAATTTACTAAATACAACAAATAATTTGAAAAAAATTAAGTAAATTATTTATAATTCATTAATTCATTATTGAAATGATTCAAATAATTTTGATTTGATAACAATTTTATTAAATCTTTGTTACTAAAGTTTAAATTTTCCAAAAAACAATTCTAAAAACCAATAACATTAAATAAAAAGAAAAAAAAGTAAATTAATATTAGTTGAACAAGTTCTTAATAAAACTTGAACTTATTTATTATTATTATTAGTATTAAATATAGAAAACTCTTTTATCTTGATGAAAAACATATTTATAAAAATTTCTAAATCTTTTAAAAATTATCCAAAAGTATCTTGTAATATTAGCAATGTTAATATTTAACAAACAGCTATTTTTAGATATTAGAAATCTTATCAACTCTAAAAAAATAAATCTAAATATAAATTTAGTAAAACAAATACTATTTCTAAAAAAAAATATAGTATATATAAAATGTTTGTTTTTACATCAAAATAAAATAACAAAGAATAACAACTAGACAAATTATATTAAATAAACTAAATGCTTAAATTTTATTAAAAAGTTTATGATCTTTGAATTGTTTAATACATATTACAAACTACTAAACTATCATTGTAATTTTAAATAAATAAAAAAATTAAAATTTTGATTTCTATAAAACTTGTCCTAGTATAATTTTATTTTAATCTACTCTTTATAAATTATCATATAACATTCAGTATAGAAAATTTAATGTTTTTATGTTCTTATAAGAACATACTTTTTAATTTGAGAATATTTGTTACTTTGAACATGTTCTCTATAAAAAATTTTTGAGAACATATTGCTTGATAAATATGTTTTCTATAAAAAATTTTTTGAAAACATATTGCTTAAGAAATATGTTCTCTCTATAGTATAGTACAAATGAAGTTAAAATTAGAAAATAAGTAAAGTCTGAACAACCCAGAAAGAAAATGAATGAACATAAAAGACAAGCAAGTTTGAGACAAAAATTTGAATAAATTAACAATATTATTCAAAAAATTTCAAAAAATGGTAACAGAAATTTTTGTTATTAAGAGCATAAAAATATTTTTGAGAATATTAATTAAATAATTGTGTTCTCATGAGAACATAAATTTCAAAACAGATTTCCAACACTGGTGACACTATCTAAAGCTTCCAGAAAATGATCCAAGACCAAAAATATATTGCTTGCTCATATACTTCTTATTTGTAGTTATATAACAGGTAATACGTATCTTATATCGGTTGCAATTACTAGGTGTAATTATTGGGGTTCTCATTGCTAACGCTAATATAATCCGGATGGTCTTTAAGAATAGGATCGAAACACTAGGCGCATATATCAACACTTTCAGTATATATAAAGTACGTATAAAATTTTTTGTGATAAAATTTTTTTGAATAACACTGCTTGGCCAAACGATCTGCAAATTTGAAAATAATTGGACTTATTAATTAGATCGCAATCAAAATTAACCCTTTATTTTACTAAACATATCAATATACAGTCAAACCACTCTATGATCACACCCCTCGGGATAAATATTTGTGTGCTTATAAAAAGATTTTTACTTGTTTATATACGTATAATTGGTTCCTAAATGTGCTTATAAAGAGGTTTTTTATATAATGTGCTTATAACGAGCGTGACTATAGAGGGGTCTGACTGTACTTGGTTAATATTCTTTACGTATATTATTTCAAAAATATTGTATGCAATTAAAAAATAGCTAATTATATTATTCTTTTATAAACAAATCCAGACACCCAGCCTTTAATGCAATACTAACCGCAGTTACTAGAAGCAATTAGGGATGCAGATGAAACTTCTGTAACTTTTGCCGTAACTTGTCGTGTAATATGTAATATATAACTATAATAACAGATAAATTATGGCATTTTTGCCGTAACTTTATTTTATTATATGTTACGGTAAGTTACGGCAGGCAATTCACCTGCATCGCTAGAAGCAATATAAACAAAACTGTTAATACTAAACCAACTGAAAATGGACATGCTAAAATTATTTAGTATATACAACAAATACTATAGCATGCTTTGAGATTTTAGCCTTTTCTGGCTAGGCTGAGAATAAATTGGTTCTAACTTTTAATTTTTAGTAAATGTATTCCATCATAATGTAATTATTTTAATGTCTATATAAATGCTCACTTCGTTCTTAAAAAAAAAAATCATCTAAAAGCATTTTGAAAATCGATTATCTTAATGGATAAACTTCCAATGATTGGTTTTCATTTTTGTTTTTATACTATAAAACAATATTGTTAATTGATATCCCACAAACCCATATAATAAATTTATTTATATTAAAATTAAACGCTTTGACATATACTATCTCAATATAAAATTGACAATTTACAATAAACTGCAATCTGTTTTAGAGAAAAGGATTACATTAAAAGAATTATAAAAAAGAGTGACATGTTCGGTCTAACCACAGGGAACTAAATTGAGTGGCGTAAAGTTATACGACACTTTGATCAAGTGGTAATAAATAAGATGGAAAAGGTACATTAAGAAATATGTTACCGAAAATCAATAATTCCTTTTTTTTTTTAATTTTAAATTCTATTGAAGTGAAATAAAAGGGGAAAAAAAATTACACAAAACTTGACCTTTACAAATATGCATATAACTCAACGGCTCACCATTTTCTTTATAATTTGTACAAAGGAAGGAGTAACACCTTTCCAGAAGGATGCAACTCCAAATTGTTAAAAAATTTTAATAGGAGATACGATCCTTTGATAAGAGTCACACTCCTTGAATTAATGTTATTAACAAAGATACAAAATGATACTTTGTAACGTGGGAGGAGAGATGATGAAATGAAGCATAGAAATAATCTATGCATGACGATTTTATATGTAATATACTAAAAATAAACACTTTTTACATAACGATACAAATGCAACCACTACCAGATGGCGCATAGGGATCGTCGCGTCTATCGACAGGTCCCCAAACAGACGGTACTAAGAAATCTCTAGTGTTTCTACAGTATAGGATTAAACTTGAATAGATAACAGTTAAGATTAGTTACTAGCATCTGTGTTCGAAAGTGTATCTTAAACATATCTAAATATAATACGTACCTATTACTTGCTTCGCTGACACGTACCCGAGGACGATCTAAATCTTCTCGAAGTCTTTGGTTAAGATCAACTAACCGCCGAAGTTTAATGTCTGCCATTGAATGTTGCTTTTGTCTGTGCATCGTGTAATATGTATGTGTTCTTATAATTACAAATTGATGGTGAGGAATTTAATGTTGAAAGAAATATAGCAGGGCCTTTGCCTATAAGTAATGAAAATGACGTTAAAGTATCATGTATATGAGCTGGAATAATTTATTACAAAGCGAAATTCGGTAAATCCCAATCTAGTGTAATCCAAGCATTTTCATCGATATGTAACTTCCATATTTATAAAAATGAAATAAAAGTTTGTAGCTTACCTTTAATATTAAAACCCCTTGGTTAAACTGTACATCAGTGTAGAAAGATAATATTAATAGGATTTCAAGTTTTCCTATCAAAATTATTTACAACAAACTTACCAGAAGGAATGAGCTAGTTTTGTGAAAGAAAATAAAGGAAAAAAACGATGAGAAACAAATTCCAAACTTGTGTTAGATAAAACAAACGGTTGGCTAATGTTAGCACCAACCAAATAAAGTTTTTATTTCAATATATGTAATCTGCATTGAATTATCCTTTTTAGTAAATAAATTAAATAATATATTCCTTACAATCAATTCTATTCACCAATTAATTGTTCGTTACGTAGCATTTAGTGTCTGACAAAATATTATTATGTTAAACGGTGTTAATATGTGTACTTATATATTCTGACTGGATGTACTAATCTATAATTATAATGAGGTGGTGGGATGGTGTAAATACACTAAAGTAAAATCAATTCATCCCCTAAACGTACCTAGGTACATACACTACGTACGTACTTCGGAGAGATCTGTCCATAAAACCTAAATCTCCAATTAAAGAATTTATAGACCATGATTTTTCGGATATCTCCTATTATGTGATTATGTGTCCCTTTGTTGGAAGCAATGTACAGAATGTACGTACGTACGCCTCTGCGTGTACCAGTTACACGAGATCAGGGTGTAAATTTTATTAGGCCAGGCGAAGCTAATTCCTTGGTATTCATAATATGAAAATTTTAAAACAGACCGGTTATTAGTTTTCAAATTTTGACCCTTCTGGACTTCAAAGACTTTCATATAATTGGCTGGTTAAATTAATTTAATTTTACATTATTTATATAGTTCAAAACTACAAAGAATAAATAAAAACAAAGCATATAAAAAGCTTTATTAGGGTCGTAGGACTTCACTATTAAAAATAATCAAAATCTCTTGGTTTTAGAGAGGTTAGCATAATAACGACTTCTGAAAAATAAGTTATACATAAATAATGTTAATTTCTTTAGACAAAAAAGGGTAGTTTGATTTATTTTAAGTACTTTAAACTGTATAAATCATTTAAATTTATATTGATTTAAACAACCAATCATATGAAAGTTTTTCTATGATTCTGGACTATAAAAACCAATTAATTATATCCATATGATTTTTATAATGATCACGTCTTCCCAATATTGCCACTAGAGTCCAGGAGTATGATTCGGTCATTGTCAAATTATTATGCGAACCTAGTGATTACAGGATTAGGTTTTAAGTAAGATATAGACTATGAGCCCGTCAATTATAGAAAGTTTCTAAAGGCACAAAATTTTTACTAGAAATATTTTGTGGTAATTCTACATATTCTACATATGGAGATGTTTATAGCAAAACAAGGCTTAGGGACTATATAATATACAGTCCCAAAGCCTTGTTTTGCTGTGGGCATCCCCATATGTCAAAAATTTTAAGCATGAATGTAGTTGGTATATAATCATTATATCAATGCTTTAAAAAGTTTGAATAGTATAATGAGTAACTTATTTTTGAAAGTGTACCAGGCATATGATAGTTTAGCTAGCATTATTTATATGAAATTGGCCAGTGTTAGAGTATAATATAAACTAACTTGATGACAAGATTTTATGTAATTCATTGTGTAATGCCAATTGACCAATAAAAATTTCTTTGAACATAAGTATGTTATATTATGCAAGATTATTCAAAGTTCTTTAAATTATACAAAATTACATATTTTATATGCCATAAATTGAATTATGTAAATATTATATTAGATTATAATCTTAAACATCAATTATTACCAAAAGTTGCAGTTATGTAACAATAATAAAAATTCTTCAATGATTTGTAAATTAATAACACAATAGTTAGTGCTTTTGAGTCTCAATTGTAAGGTTGCAAGTTGCAAGTTCAAGTTCAAAAAGTAATAACAATTTTGTCAAAATCACAATTAAAAACATACTGTTTAATAATTTTTACAAAATGATAATCCTAATCTTTAAAAAATATGTATAACAGATTTTAAAAGTGTTTGAGAACCTTTAGAATAGCAAAAAAAAATAAAACAAAATTTCTCAAAATTTATTAAAATTAGATAAAATTAATGTTATATATATATTTTTTTATAAATCAGACAGCCTTGCTAATTACCTTTATTAAAATTCTTGTATACATACTATACAAAATTGGCTTAAATTTTGGTTTAATATCTTTTAGTTACTTCTATGAATGCCCAGAAGTAGTCTGTTACATAGGCTAGAAAATTATCACTGGCCTAGAGTTATACCAAACTAGCTCGTAAGATTCTAAAAAAAGGGTCTTATGCTTCTATTTACAAAATTAAAAACTGAACTGAGTTATGTTTCCTAAATTTGAACTTTGTTTTTTTTTTTTTCTTCTTTCATAACTTAGTTTTGTTTATCTATATTTGTAACCTTTCCTTCTTTTTGTGTTTCTTTATTTAAAAAATTTCATTTTTTGTTATTTTCTTTCTTTTTAATTGTAGTATTAATTCCTACTAATTTTTTCTAATCACTAATAATATTATACTATTTTTTTTATATATTTTCAAAAAACCTATTCCATACTATGTTTGTGAATATTGTTATGAAATTCTTGGTTTCTTTTAATAATTGTATAATATCTTGTATCTTTTTTTTAGTTTTTTCTTATATTAACCTTTTAATGATTTTGAATTTGCTTGTTGATCTTTCTTCTTTTAAAGTTTTCTATAAAAGCTTTTTAAGTTCTTTTTATTTGTCTTCTTCTGAGTTTCTTTTGCAAGTATTGTTCATGTCAAGATGATTGCTGTATTTTTTGTACTATCCTATTCTTTTTTATACTCATTGCATGTTACTAGATGATCTTGATCCTCTTCATGATCTTTATTATAAAGTATATAAAATGCATTTTTGTATAAATCTGGTTATCTTTGTGCCAAGATCTTGAATATAGGTAGCTTTTTATTTGTGTATTTAATTAATATTATTAATTTTCTATTCCTCTTTATACTTGTACATTTTGTTCTACTTTGACTCTTAATGCTTTGCCATAATGTTGACTAGCCATATTCTTCTTTTTTTGAATTTGGTTCTGTTTTTTGTATCGATAATGTAAATCTTCATTCTACTTCAACTTTAAGTTCTAGTACATTTTTGATAAACTTTCTTGTTAGATTTTTAATCACTAAATTCTTCTAGCAAAGTGAAACATTTGAATTTGAAGGTAGTACTTTTATTATTTTATTAAAATTATCTATTTTACTATTTCTTTTACTAATTTATCTGCTCTATTGTTCTATTTATTACAACTATATTCTTTTATTTTAACTAAATGTAATTCTATTTTCTTTACACTAAGCAACTCTAGTATATTTCTCTTAAAATCATAGTTCTTTTCTTTAATCTAATATTTACTTAATTTTAACTTTTTTCTTTTATTAAGATCTGCTATTACTACCATACTGTTTATGTAAATCTTGACTTTTTTCTTTCTTAATGTTATTAGTAACACATACCAAATCATAAGCAATTCTGCTTTTATTAATAAAGGCCAATTTTATGTGTTAATTGTACTTTCATTCATTACTTTTTCTTCTTTAGTATCTACTTACATCTATCCTACTCTCATGCAATTACTCTCTATTAAGTTTTCTGTCAATGTTTTCTTAAGTAATCTATCTATATAGAAAATCAGCTTCTTGTTGTTTTCTAGTTTGTTTCTTTGGTTTTTATAAGCTAACTCTTTTTTAAGTACTTAACTAAGTTATTGTTTTTTTATAAGCTCTATGTCTAAGTCTTTATATACTATTTGACTAGACTTTTATATTTGTCTGGATTGATTAATTTATTGTATTCTAATTCTCTTATTATTTTTTGTTCTACTTCAAATTTGGACACTTCTTTCTTGTTAATAAGTCTTGACAGAGAGCCTTGGATATCTTTTTTATTATTTTATCTTTTATAACTTTTCTGTTCTTTAATTTGATCTAAGTTGCAACCATCACATTTTTCCAAAAATTAACCTATTTTGTTTTCTCATAGCTTTGTTTTTTAATGTTCTGTAAGCATCTTTTTGGATGTATTTGCAATATTTTCCTAATTATTAGATTTTCTTTTTTTTCATTTCATAGTAACTTTAGTACAATTCATTCTTTTTTTCTGTTATTATTTGAGCATCTGTCTAAGATTGTTTGTAGTAATACATTTTTATTTTCTTCTAATAACATAAATTCTGGTTTAAGTTGTTTACTGTTTTTGTTTTCTATTATAGTTTTTTCGATTCTTTTAAACTATCTTGCTGGTCTTCCTTAGCTTGATTTTTTTTTCAGTAGTTTGAGTTACTATTATGAAATCATTCTATTGTCTTCTTTATTAATAAGTTGGTTTACTGAGGCTACTTGTAATATAAACTTGTCTTTCAACACATCTGTGATTTTTAATTTTTCATCTGTTCTTCTTATACTTATATTATTAAAATCAAGTGTTATTCATAACTCTTTAGCTTTAAGTATCAACTGATATACTAAATTGTTTTTCTATAAGCTGCTACATACTTTTATTGAGTTTTTTTGCCAGTTCGTTTTTGTTACATCTAAGAGCAGCAACTTCTGGTTAATTCTAATTCTTATTAATTTTTCTTCAGAACTTATTGAATTAATTTGTGATACAAACTTGTGATTTGTTTAATTAGCAATTGATCTTATAACACATTGCAGTTGCCCAGATTTCTATGAATAATTATACTATTGCTTACTGTTCTTGTAATTA